CCCCCCCCCCCCCCGCTGGCTTCCCCCAAGGCTTGGCAAAGCTGCTGCGGCTTTGCTCCCGGTGCCTCTGGTCTGCTGGGGCCTGTCTCCAGCAGACCAGGGACACCTGGAGCAAAGGAGGCGGAGGGGTGCTGGGGTATAAGACGAAACCCTATCTTTTAACTAAAAAATTAGGGGGTCGTCTTATACTCCCAGTCGCCTTATACGCCGGAAAATACAGTAATTGGCAGCATCTCTCCTAACTTATAAGCCTTTACTACTAACAGTTGGGGGAACTGTAAAGGTTTCAATTAGAGGATTAAATTAAATCAGATCTTGAAAATCACTATCTTGATATGAGAGCTTTAGAACTACCAGTGGATGCTAGTGTTACCATGACCGCTTACCCTGTGTAGACATAAACACCTTTCTTCTGGTCCCATAGCCAAGCCCGCAATATGAATGTCCATTCTGAGACAACACATACAGTTCCACGGGAATTCCAGCTGGATCTAGATGAAATTGAGAATGACAATGGCACAGTTCAATGTGAGATGCCAGCACTTGTACAGCACAAACTAGATGACATTTTTGAGCCAGTCCTGATCCCAGAACCCAAGTGAGTTTTTATATGTATTCCTGTTTATATGTACTCGTGTTTAGCCAACCAAAACTAGAACCATTCTGAGTGGCAACATAGACAAACACTTGCATGTGGAAGTAAGGTTTTAAGAAATTAAGACCTAGACTAGCATGAAGTCAGACATCAATGTAATGGTCTGTTGATTGTTATAAGACACAAGTAGGAAGATACATGTTGATAGGCTGTCATTAAAAAATTATTAGCTGCGGGGGAGAGAGATTCTGAAGGGGGAAAAGAAGTTGCCCCTGAACTTACTACACAAAGGAAAAGGAAACCTGGTCTTACAGTTAATGCATGGTCTGAGTGAGGTTAGGTTGTAGTCTTAGTTCTGTTGCAGATGGTTTGTGTGGTTAAAACAAATCACTTAAATCTCTTTTCCATCTCCTGTAAATGAGAATGAAGTTCTCCCTGCAGGGATGTGATAGGAACTATTTTACCATGAAGAATCAGACTTCTTTCCCCTTTGAATTGTCTAGGATTCGTGCTGTCTCGCCCCATTTCGATGACATGCACAGTAATACAGCTTCCACCATCAACTTTGTCATCTCCCAGGTAGCCAGTGGTGACATAAATACTAGTATCCAGGCTCTGGCACAGGTAAGTGAAACTTTTATTTGATAACTACACTGTGTTGAACTAAGGCCAGTATGCGAGAGTGATGAGTTGCACGCTGGTGGAGTTGCCATGTCGGGTGACATGGAAACCACTCAGAATGTCCTTGATGACAAAGCTAAGTGCACAGGGGCCATCTGACTCGCTGATTACATAAATTTTCCATCAGACAAGAATGCAGGATACATTTTGTACATGGAAGTTTATACTAGATCATCAACCATATAGAATTTATATCTGACCTGGTGATGGCTGTTGGTGTTGAGGGTAGTGGTGATGTTCTAATCCTCCTATATCGACTTCACTTTTGTTCTGACATAGGTATTGGGAGTCTCACCTCCATGTTGGGCTGGTGAGGATTAGTTTTTGATTAAACTTCCTTGCAAATCCCAAGTGTAGGAGTTGAATGCCCTGCCTCTTAACCCTTGAGCCGTTCTAACTGTTAAGGTGTGCCATATTCAAAAATCTATACGAGACCAATTACAGAATCTATGATATAGTCTTGTACACACTCAACATTTTATGAGTATAGGAGAAGTCATAGCCAAGCCAAGGGATTATTAATGCCACGGAATGGACTGGAATTAGTTGTACAAGTCCAAAGACACACTTTTTTAAATGAAGTTTTAGAAAACAGATGTCTTGACTAATAGAATAGTAAGTGTGGGGGAAGCTAAGTTAAACATTCTTCCAGTATTGTTTGCAGAGGATCAACTTTAACGTGTGTCTGGTTTTTTGCTTTTAGATTGATGAAGTCCTCAGACAGGAGGACAAAGCAGAAGCCATGTCTGGCCACATTGACCAGTTCCTAATAGCTACATTCATGCAGCTCCGACTGATCTACAACACACACATGGCAGATGAGAAACTGGACAAGGATGAGATAGTCAAACTCTATAGCTGTATTATTGGAAATATGATCTCGGTAAGGCAGGGAGGAAAAGAAACAAGCCTTGTGGAGATGGGTGGGTGAAGATGGGAATGTCCTGCACTGGCTTTACTGTCTAGTTAATCTTGTTTAAGAAGGCTTCTTTCTAGCTATTCTCTTTAAATGATTCACCTGGAGATAGTCTAACAGTAAACCCATGCAGAAAATCAAATTGGATACAAAGCATATGGTGCATAGTGGGAGTGAGTGTTTCATGTCTTATAAACGTTAGCCCAATGGATAGGAGACCTGAGTTTAGTACCCCATCTTCCCTTTGGCCTGATGTGGAGATGCAATTTCAATGTAGCTCTCATATGTTGTGAATTCCTTAGTTGCTGGGATGTGCTGATGTAGGTCTTAACATGGGACAGCTTCAAGAGGAGAGATTATTTATAAATACAGTTGCTGGAGCATACTTAAACCTGGATTTCCTCCTCATAGGTTAATGCCCTGTCTGTTGGACTGCAGAGTCATTCTCTCACTTGACTTGGCTCAGTGACAACCTGTTGTCATGAATATTAACAGCAATAGTAGGGGAATTGTGAAACTTGAAGTGTTTTTAGGTTCCATCTAGGCTCTGGAGGGGAGTGTGCTCTAGTGGACATAAGCTCTTCTGCTCCCAGTGCTCCCTTTTCCAGTCATGTCTCTTCACCACCTTTTGGCTTCTTGTCTAAGCTCTGTTATCCTCGCTTAGACAAACTCAGTGTCTACTCTTCAAACTTTTAGGCTTCCAGTCCTAGGCTTTTCTTACCGAGCCAGTCCCCTTACAAGTCTGGCACTTGTCCCTTTTGTGTTCAAATCAAGCAGGTAGGTTCCTTCCCTATGCTAAAGCTTTTCAAGGGAAAGGTCACCAAATTTCACATGGGGGGAAAATAAGTTATTTTGCCCAGCTTCATCCTTGGAAATGGCTGAACCATTTTGACTTCAATGTTTCAAAAAATTAACTTGAGGCAGATAGCTAGTGTGAAAAACTTCAGCCAAAACCAGGTAAAATTTGGCAAATGTGCAAATGAAAACAAGATCTTATAACTGGAAATATTGGGTCAACTTAAGTGTTGGTACCAGGTCCGCCTATGACTTTGCTAGATTTTCTGGCATGCACAGTAATACTTCATGTGATCATCTAAATTTGAAGGGAAAATAGAATGTTTCATTATCTGAAAAATACAGTAACCTAGTTTCTTCAGATGACCTGAGTTTTGAGTTTAGGGTGTGCAGACCTAAAATAAATAGGAGAGAAGGGCTTCGTTTTAACTACCCAATCTTCAGATACTTACTGATTCCCTCTACTCCCAATCTCCAACCCCCTTTTTTTTTTTCCAGATACTTACTGATTCCCTCTACTCCCAGTCTCCAACCCCCCCTTTCTTTTTTCTCTCTCTGTCTCTTCACCCCCACCCCTCCCTATTTATTTTGGATCTGCACATCCTAAACTCCAAACTCCGGTCATCTGAACATAAGACCCTAAGAATGGCCGTACTGGGTTAGACCAAAGGTCTATCTAGCCCAGTAGCCTGTCTGCCAACAGTGGCCAGCACCAGGTGCTCCAGAGGGGGTGGACCGAAGACAATGATCAAGCGATTTGTCTCCTGCCATCCATCTCCAGCCTCTGACAAACAGAGGCCAGGGACACCATTTCTATCCCCTGACTAATAGCCTTTTATGGACCTAACCTCTATGAAATTATCTAGCTTCTCTTTAAACTCTGTTATAGTCCTAGCCTGCACAGCCTCCTCTGGCAAGGAGTTCCACAGGTTGACAACGTGCTGTGTGAAGAACTTTCTTTTATTATTTTTAAACCTGCTACCCATTAATTTCATTTTTTGTCCTCTAGTTCTTTTATTTTGGGAACTAATAAATAACTTTCTTTATTCACTCTCTCCACACCACTCATGATTTTATATACCTCTGTCATATCCCCCTCATTCTCCTCTTTTCTAAACTGAAAAGTCCCAGTTGCTTTAGCTTCTCTTCATATGGGACCTGTTCCAAACCGCTAATCATTTTAGTTGCCCTTCTCTGAACCCTTTCAAGGGCAAAATATCTTTTTTTTTTGAGGGGAGACGACCACATCTGTACACAGTATTCAAGATGTGGGCATACCATAGTTTTATACAGGGGCAGTAAGATAGTCTCTTATTTTCTAAACCTTTCTTAATAGTTCCTAACATCCTATTTGCCTTTCTGACTGCCGCTGCACACTGTGTGGAAGTTTTCAGAGAACTATCCACGATAGCTCCAAAATCTTTCCTGATCTGTCATAGCCAAATTAGCCCCCATCATACTGTACGTATAGTTGGGGTTATTTTTTTCCAATGTGCACTTATCCATATTAAATTTAATTTGCCGTTTTATTGCCCAATCACTCAGTTTGGAGAGATCTTTTTGAAGTTCTTCAGTCTGCATTTGTCTTGACTATCTTAAACAGTTTAGTATCATCCACAAACTTTACCACCTCACTGCTTACCTCTTTCTCCAGATCTTTTATGAATAAGTTGAACAGGATTGGTCCCTGGACTGACCCTTGGGGGGGACACCACTGAAGAAGTGGGCTGTGCCCACAAAAGCTCATGATACCATTGACATGTTTTGTTAATCTATAAAGTGCTACCAGACCATTTATTGTGGGTGGGTTTTTTTCTGTACAGACTAACTCAGCTACCCCCTGAAACTTTTTTGAGTGATTCCTCGTTAATTCTAGTTAGAGATGTGTGCGCCACATGCAGAGTAGTCAAAGTTTTTTCCCCTAGCACAGTGGTTCTCAGACTTTTTGGTTCACTCAGTATAAACCTTTCTGTGGACCAACCATCTATGGTGACAAAATGGGTGGGGAGGGTCTGGCTAGAAAATAAAGTTTAGTCAGGACTGCTGATGAAGTGGGGGCGGGAATTGCCCTGGGGCTTGGCCATTTAAAGGGGCCTGGAGTTCTTTTGAACTGCTACAGGAGCACTGGAGTGCCACTCTGCTTGGCTTGGGGTGGGGAAGGCAGTGGTGCAGTTCAGGCAGCAATAAGGACTGACTGTCCTTGGCCTTGCCTCTTCTGGGGTTATGGAGTCTGTCTCCCGACCACCACCTTGTCCCAGGGCTTGTGGTGGCTGTTGGCCCCACTGGGTGCAGGAGTGGGCTGAGGATGCAGGGTCTGGGTGAGAGGTGAGTGCAGGAGCAGGGCTGAGGGTGGGGGATCTGAGCAGGAGGGAGGGTGCAGGAGCAGGCTGAGGGTCGGTGGGTCTGGATGGGAGGTGGGGAACAGGAGCATGCTGTTGGTGGTAGGGGATCAGGCCAAGAGAGGAGGGTGTGAGGTGGGGGTGCAAGATCTTGGCAGGGGGAGGTACATGAGGGTGATGGGGGTGCAGGATCTGGGCATAAGGGGGTTGAGGCATATGTACCTGGCTTCATGTCCTCCCACCACTCCCCCGCACTGCCTCCTGCTGCTCCCATTGGCCGCAATTATGGTCAGTGTAATCAGTGGAGAAAGCCTCCAGGCCGCAATTCTCTAGGAAACCAGTTGGAGGGAGAGGGAATGGCAGCACATGGACCTGCTTGCTCCCCCTGCAAACCAGATCCAGCCTGTGAGCTTGGTATATCTCTTCCCCTGCAGTGGGACACCAGTGCTGGCGCTCCAACTTTGTGGGGGAGCTATGGGGCTGGAGCACCAGCGTGGGCTCCTCTCTGCAGGGTGGGGGCAAAGCCTTGAGCCATGGCCCATCTGGAAGACCCTACCTAGCAGCACCCTTCAGATCAGCTGTGTAGCCCCCTGGAGTGGTGCCTTTCCCAGCACTCAATATATGACCCTGCTGATCCAGCACCACCTCATTTGCTTCTTACTGCCAGTGACAATCATTGGATGGCTTGTTTAGCAAGTTTCTCCTTGTTTTCTCTATCGTTTAAGTTAGTGTAGTTAGCATTAGTTGTAGTTTTTACTGTTAGTAGTACAACAATAAACAAATTATTAGCTGTTAGGGTGGAGGAGAACCCTCACTCCCAACTGCAGATTTCATTTTGGGGATTCCAGGTATGCCAAAGGCCTAAGGGTTTAAACCCTGCAAGTCCTGCAGTAAGTCTCTGCCAACGGACAACCCCCATGATGTTTGTCTGAAGTGTCTTGGAGAGGTGCACCAAGCAGACAGGAGCAGAGTTTGTAAAGGGTTTCACTAAAGAACAAAAAAGAGCAGGACTCCAGTTTGAAGCAGTTCTTTTATGGAGGTGTCTCTGAGAACACAACCCACCAGAACCAGTGTTGTGGAAAGACACTAAGTACAGAGATCCATGGCACCACTGCTCTCTGGCACTGACACTAGTCCATTTCCTGATGTCACAGAAGCAGGAGAGAAGCAGATCTCCTAACTCCAGACCTATCCTTTTGAAATAGGTCAATGGGGCACATTCCACAGAGGAGTGCCTAGTGCACCTTGATGGCCCCATCTTGTGGGGCCAAAGTCAACATCCGCTGCTGGTGAACTCCTGTTCCTGCGTAATTGAGGAGATGGAGCCACCTTCATCCTGGACACCTTCAAGGTCATGAGGAACTTGATTTCCAGGTTTCCCATTCCTCTGGTGCAACAGCATGCAGCACCATCTTGAGACAAACCAACAATGCTTCGTCACTCATCACTGCCAGTGGAGACAAAATGCTGCTTTCGTCCCAGCATCCCTTAGTACCACCTTGGCCTTGATGGTCCAGTCCTAGTCTTGGGCTCAGAGGCAGGGTCTAGATAATCTTAGTGGAGTGGGCAATGATTGCCTCGTAGATCCTATGGTAGTGTGGGACCATGGTCCCATCATGGCAAGGGTCAGTGCAGTGATTATTTTGGGCCCCATGGGCATACCACCAAGGCCAGGGCCCCCAATCCAAAGATTCCTGTAGTAGGGTCACCAGTGTAGTAGGATAGGATTTACTGTTGTGGTGTCCTGATAGGTCCCCTGCTCCATCTATGATGAGCTGCATGCGTGTGTGCTCAATCGTGTACCATGTTGACTTGCACAATTGTCAACCCAGCAGATTGAGAGCCCCCAAAGACCACTAATCAGATAAGGATCACAGGTGTCCGGCCAGATTTAAGTGAAGTACGGTAATAGTTGTCAGTATATTCTACCAAACCGCTATGCATTTGTACCTCATAACAGTGGACTCAGCTCAGAGAGAAGTCCCACTGCCCTTTCGGCTGGACAAAGACTGTTCCCCCAAAAACACTCTTTTATATACAGGTGCAAACAAGGTAAAAATCACTCCTGATGTGTCAGGTTGCCACCATCTGATTTTACTTAGATACCATCCATCACCCTGCCCCTTGTGGTTCAGTTAGAACATCTCTATCCATCATGCTGTTTTTTAGACCCTTTCCTGAACCTGGGTCTATATCTGTGGGGAATGTGGGTACCAAGGTCTTTTTTTAATGAGGTGGTGTTACCATCCTTTTGGAATGTGCTTATGATCAACTTCTGATCAGTACCAATTACTGTTCCACACCTGGGCCTGTTACTGATTAGTGTTTTGCGCGCTCGGTACTGCTCCCATTTATTTATCAACTGCATGCCAGTGATGACAGCCTTCCTTCATTGCAGGGAGGTGCAGGTATACCTCAACTTCAACAACTGGCTGCTTCCAGGAACCAGGTGGAATAGCACATTCGATTGGTGAAATCCACCTTCTGCAGACTAGACTCTATTCAGGCCATGGTGTGCCTGGCAGAGGCCCAGTTTTGAACAATCTCAGCCATCGTATCCAGTCTTGGATAGTACCTCACCACTAAAACAAAGAGCTGCATGAGTTGTCTGGCCATATGGCATCTTGCATGTATATGGTACAACATGCCACGATCTGACTTTTAGACCTCTTTAGGTGGGGTTTGTGTCAGCTTTTTGCCTAGGATGCAAATCAGTAGGAAGTATGTAAGGGAATCTCCTTCCATAAGCCCCAGTCTTCCCTGCCCTTGGTAACAGACATGTCAGTGCTAGGTTGAGGGACTCCTGTAGAAGACCTACAGAGTGATGGCCTCTGGTCCCTGGACACACACTCACTCCACATCACTGTCAAGGAGTTGAGACAAGCTACTCTTGCGAGGTCAGTGCATGGGAGTCATGATGTACAACTTGTCTACACTGGTTTACATAACAGATTTGGGGCTTATTCCGCTCTCCAGCTTATGGGAATTTTGCATCTCCCATTCATTCACCTGCAGGCTTCCTATCTTCCAGGATCTCCAAACCAGCTGGTGGACTACCTCAGCAGGTCCTTCTGCAAGTATGAATGGTCCATCCAACCAGATGTCATTCTACCATCTTGCTGAGTGGGGAACTCCCCACATCAACCTCTATGCCACTCAGGGCAACAGGAAATGTCAACAGTTCTGCTCCTTCCAGAACTGCAGCCAAGGCTCCTTCCTGGATGCCTTTCTCCTGTTATGGTCAGATCACCATCAGATCATATGTATTCCTATTGTTTCCGCTTGTGTGCTCAAGATCCGCAGGGACAAGGCGGCAGTTATACTAACTATGCTAGCGTGGCTCCACAAGACTTGCTTGAACCATTCTATGGTTCCCAGACCCAAGAACTCAGGACAACTCTTGCCTCTGTCACCCAGACCTCCTGTCTTTCCACCTCATGGCCTGGAAGCTACATGGCTGACCCAGATAGAGTTCTCATGCTCACAGCAGGTCAGGGAGGTTGTTTGGTAACAGGAAATCCTCCACTGGCACTACTTATTTAGATAAGTGGAAGCAGTTTGCACTCTGGTGCTCCCAGGGCTTTGCTCTACCATTACAGCCCCACCATCCTTCTCATCCTAGAATACCTATTATACCTCAAACAGAAAGCTCTGGATGCTACTTCCATCAGGGTACATCTGGCAGTTACCTGCATTTCACCTGGGATTGGATGGGCACTTTGTCATTGCCAAATCCATTGTTGGATGCTTCCTTGGGCTTGGAGTGACTACATCCACATATTTGGCAGCAGTTTCCTAGATGGGACCTTTTCTGGTTCTTTCCAAAATGATGGGACTCTTGCAAACACTGGCAACTTGCTCACTCCTGTACCTGTCTTGGAAGGTTGCCTTTCTAATTGCCATTACTTTGGAAAGGAGTGTTTCAGAGCTGAAGGCCCTCATCTCTGACCCTCCATATAATCTTCAAAGACAAGGTGTAACTCAGGCCTCCTCCAGATTTCCTTCCGAAGGTTGTGTGCCAATTTCACTCTGAGGATGTTTTCCTGCTTGTGGGTTTATCCTAAATAGAGTGTGAGCAACCATGAGCAATCTCTCCACTCTGGACATTTGGTGGGCACTTGCCTTTTACATCGAACACGCACAACCATTCTAAAAGTCACACTAGCTATTTGTGGCGATGGCAGGCTGCATGAAAGATCTGTTTTGTCACAGAATTCATTCTGGATTACCTCCTGCATTCACACCCGCTACAAATTAGCCAGTGTTCCTGCTCCAGCTGTCTTGACTCATTTCCACAAGAGCAAAGGCCACCTCAATGGCTTTCCTGGCCCAAGTGCCAATGAAGAAGATCTGTAAGGCAACCATGTGGTCCTTGGTACACGCTTTCACTGTTCGCTATGCCATCATCCAGCACGTTGGAGACGTATAGTTTTCAGCAAAGCAGTGCTCCAGTCCGTTGTTCCAGAATTTCAACCCCACGGCCTAGGTAATGTTCCTTATAATCTTTTTCATCCATGTGCAGAATACATTTTTGTATGTACAAAGAGGCATGTGCAAATATACACCACCAAAAGAGAAACACAACCTTGCTGTGGACTCTAATCATCTGGGTGGCATTAGAATGTCTCCTGAGTGGGTGCACAAGCGCATACTTACGGGGAACACTGCTCTCCTAGGTGAGTCTCCAGCCATACTTAAGTGGATTGATATGAGCAGTCAGAGAAAATAGTTATGCACCTTCTTGTAACTGCAAAAACGAGGAGTCCTGTGGCACCTTAAAGACAGACAGATTTATTTAGCGTTGCCCAACCATAAAAATGTTGGCATATTGTGGAGCCATGTGGATACCCATAGCAGTGAGCCACATCCATCCTAACTGAATTGACTTCTTTAATACTGGTTCTACACTTGATAAGTAACTTCTTTTGATGTACTAGTACATATATATTTCTGCCTCTGTAATTTGCACTCCAGTGCATCTGGTGAAGTGAGTTTTACCCATGAAAGCTTATGCTCAAATAAATCTGTTTAACTTTTAAGGAGCACAGGATCCCTTGTTTTTGCAGATACAATTTAACATTACTATCTGACAGTTCTTGTTCAAGTTGCGGTGTTCGTATCCATTCCAGACCTTCCCCTCTGTCGGAGTAGCCGGCAAAAAGGAACTGAGGTGGTGCCAGATTGGCAGGGTCATTTATTATTGAGCACCACAGCTGGCCTGAGAGGTGCTGCTGGGGAAACACTTCTTCCACTGGGCGTGCGCACACACTCCTAACTAGAATGAGTTTGAGCAACTCATCTCTAAGAACCACAGTTCCGAGAAGGTAAATAACAGTTATATCTTAATGCGTGCACCTAAGGAAACATAATTGAAGTGCAGTTCTGTTTTGAAGTGACTGAAAATAGCGTGGTGGTGGTTTATTAACAACATGGCTCAGTTTACAAGCAAGATTGTGGGAGTTTGGGGTTGCATGGGGTTAGTTACCATCGTTGCAAACGTAGTTGGTGCAAGGTTTTTTGCATCTTCACTAACAGTAAAGGTCTTCAAGTCAAATTAGCTCTTCAATGCCCAGTATGACCTCATTTTTTCCCCCCCATGGGTTTGCACAGGCTCTTCAATGCCCAGTATGACCTCATTTTTTTTCCCCCCATGGGTTTGCACTTGTAACAGGTTTGCTTTATTGTAACCATCCTTGAGACAAAATGATAGAGGAAAAGGCAAAATACTGAGCTGGGCTGGCTCAAGAGGTCCAAGAGTAGGAAGTATAGTGAATATTCATTTTAGTTATTGAAATAAGTAGCTCTGACCAATATACACATGGGGAGAAGACCTTTTGGGGTAAGAAACCATGTTTATGTACTGTTTTCAAAATAAAACTAAGTGTTACATATACAGCTTTAACTTTGGTATTTTGTGCTTTTGAATGCTTACCTCTACAACCTTAATGTTCTTCACATGAGTTTTAATAGAACATATGAAAACTTTGAGAGTTGCATGTTTAGAGAGGGAGTTGCAAGTGGAATCCCAGATGAGCCCCTAAACTAAAATGATGCATGCTGAAAGCTTCTAATCCTGACTTTGATGGGCAGCTATTTCAGATGGAGAGCCTGGCCCGGGAGGCTTCCACAGGAGTGCTGAAGGACTTAATGCATGGCCTCATTACATTAATGTTGGATTCACGGGTTGAAGACCTCGAGGAAGGGCAGCAGGTCATCCGATCGGTCAACCTCTTGGTGGTAAAGGTTCTGGAGAAGTCTGACCAGACCAACATCTTGAGGTATGTTAGTTTTTGTTAGAATCAAAGACACATTTCTTTCTCTAACAGTCTTGTACCACAGGTGAAATATAATTTTACTCTTTAGGAAGCATGCTCAGCTGTTTTGTCATCACCTAACGGGGCAATTATGACTAAATCACTAGTGAATCTATATCAAGGTGGTAAAGCTTTACATGGAAGTATTCTACAATCTAAACTTGTAATCTGTCTGTATCAGTTGACCAATATTGACTTGGTATGTCCTTCAGAGATTCAGCTCTCCATTTTTATGGAGCTGATAATAAGATACTGGGGACCAGGAAGAGGCTCACAGCACTTTGTGAAAGTTGGACTAATATTGGTCTGTAGCCTCTACTGTGGTGGTCAGTAGGGATGTGCTATTTCACTCCCTTTGTGGCATTTGCCCATCTAATGATATTTGTTCTTTCCAGTGCTCTGCTTGTTCTGCTCCAGGACAGTCTGCTAGCAACAGCCAGCTCTCCCAAATTCTCAGAGCTTGTCATGAAGGTGAGCCTGTAATGGGGGTTGTGTGCTCATTCAGTCCTCTGAAGTTTGTTTGAACTAACAATCTGAATTAAGCAGGAACACAAGGTGCCTTAAGACCTAGTTGGTGACTATAACTTTAAATACTACTCTAGCACCTAGTCTAGATGTAGCATGTTAAGATAACTTGCCCCATCTATGCTAAGGTTCTAAAACATTCTAGTTAAAATATTGATGTTAAGTGCCCCTTACCCTAGGTTAGACATACAGGCAGTCCCCGGGTTACGTACAAGATAGGACTGTAGGTTTGTTCTTAAGTTGAATCTGTATGTAAGTCGGAACTGGCGTTCAGATTCAGCCGCTGCTGAAACTGATCAGCGGCTGATTCCAGGAAGCCCAGGGCAGGGCCTTCCTGTAGTCAGCCACTGGTCAGTTTCAGCAGTGGCTGACTTGGGGACGCCTGGGGCAGAGCAGCTGGGGTGCTCCCGAGCAGACCAGGGAGACGCGGGCGGCGGACCGAGATGCACTGCGGTCCCGCCGCCCTGGTCGTCCGTGGCTTTGCTTCACATCTCCCTGGTCTGCTGGCCAGGGAGACGGGAAGCAAAGCCGTGGAGCACGCAGGCAGTGGGACAGCCCAGATGCGCCTCGGCTGTCCTGCTGCCGGCGTCCTCTGAGGCTTTGCTCCCCATCTCCCTGGTCTGCTGGAGGCAGCAGACCAGGGAAATGGGGAGCAAAGACAGCCGCGGTGCGTCTGGGCTGTCCTGCTGCCTGCGTGCTCCGCGGCTTTGCTCTGCTTTGCTACCCGTCCCCCTGGTCTCCAGCAGACCAGGGGGACGGGGAGCAAAGCGGCAGAACACGCGGACAGCCCAGATGGACAGCCCAGATGCTGTCCGCGGCTTTGCTCCCCGTCCCCCTGGTCTGCAGACTGGGGGAGGGGGGGGCAAAGCAGAGCCAAGCCGCAGAGCACGTGGGCAGCGGACAGCCCTGTCCGCTGCCTGCGTGTTCCGCCGCTTTGCTTCCTCTCCCTGGTCTGCTGGAGACCAGGGAGAGGAAGGGCCCCGTTCGTAACTGCAGATCCGACATAAGTCGGATCCGCGTAACTTGGGGACTGCCTGTACTATAATGTGATTAGTACGCATCCAGCAGTCCCAGAGTGAAGTGCAACGACTTGTACTGTACGTATGCCAGTAACACAATCTCCTGCTATTAATAATGGAATCCACCATATTACTTACTCTTTTGGGCATCTACAACCAGATACTGACACCTTGGATACAGCAAAACTTGTACATCTGACTTGAGAAGTTGGTTTTTAATAAACATTTTTCTCACCAGTGTCTGTGGAGAATGGTGCGGCTTCTTCCTGAAACTATCAATAATATCAACCTGGATCGAATCCTGCTGGACATCCACATTTTCATGAAGGTGTTTCCGAAGGAGAAGCTGAAGCAGTGTAAAAGTGAATTCCCCATAAGGACACTTAAGACTCTGCTTCACACCCTTTGCAAGCTAAAAGGACCCAAGGTGAGAGCAGACGCCAACTATGTGCTTAATGATAGCTTGATAATCTTAAATTAAAAGTTCTTTATGTGTTTCTCAGATCTTGGACCACTTAACAATGATAGAAAACAAGAATGAGTCTGAGCTGGAAGCTCATTTGTGTCGAGTAATGAAACATTCTGTGGACCAAACTGGAAGCAAGACTGATAAAGACACAGAAAAGGGGGCTTCTCGCATAGTAAGTAACCTGAAACTGAAGGTGAAGGGAGAGATGGCAAATGGCCTTCGTTCCTAGAAATAAGTTTCTGACCTAGCTCAAGTCAGATGTAAGTTGCCAACAAAAATATGATCAGTGTTGGAAATTGGTCCCTCTACTTCTGTGCCTCTGAGATGCATTAAGGATCATTAG